ATATGTAAAATATAAACATGTATGGTACATGAAAGAAACAAATGAAATACTACCGATCCCACAGTTAGAAATTGAATGGCTTTATTGAATTCATCAATTCACCTAAAAACCTGTTGGTTTCCAGGTATGATGGAGAATGCTTACGCCGTATTTCATATGCCAAGAGACATACCGGGAATTATTTCATTGGTATTGGTAAGTTCCACTGTTTTTCTGGGGTGGGAGGGGGTTGCATTAGGATTGGATTAATTGTGACAGTTTCCAACAAGAATTCCATAGCTATGAATTCTACTTTTTCTAATTCGTAAGCATGAAACCAAGCATAATCCCCTAAATTTTCTAAGCACTTAATATATGCAAAGATCTCCATCATGTTACTAGGAATGGATGCTAAGGAAATTTATTTCATGGGGATTCAGGCAGATGGAAATGTTTAGATGCAGCTAAAAACAACCTGAAGTCCTGAAGCCAAATGGGTCTAATTTGAGTATGAAGATCAAAATCAGTTTTGTTTAGAACAGATTAAACTTCCCCAAATAATTTTAAATCAGCTGAATTAATTCCTTCCTGGTATAATTTTATTAACCTGTATCAAAGAAAATGTAGGACGTTCATATATCAAGAACATGTCCCCTACCATAGTTTCTGCTACAAGTCATATACTTGTTGGATCCAATTTTTCTCTCTGATTTTCTGTTTGTGTTTTGTATGGTCCTGAAGAATATTCTGAATTCCTATGGCCTAGAGTCTAAATATATTATTTAAAGCTAAATGTATAAAGAACATAGCATAATAGCACAGAAAAATGCAATTAAATGAATGTATGGCTCATCTATTGTTAAGTAACTGTAACTTCATGTTGTTTAACTATTAGCCTTCACATATACTAACCTAAAAACCAAACCCACTGTCCTTATAGTTGATCTTGACTCATAGAGACATGATGTAGGGTTTTTGAGACCTCAAATCTTAATAGGAGCAGGCAGCCTCATCTTTCTCCAACAGAGTGGTTGGTGGGTTTGTACTAGTAACCTTGTGGTTCAAATAGACCTTGCTGTCCAGTGCATTACCCTGTAGAGCCACACCAGGAATCCAGATAGTTAAGGTTCAGTAATATTCCATGATGTATACGTACCACATTCTCTTCATGCATCATCCTTTGGTGGATGTGTAGCTTGCTTTCATCCTTGGTTATGGGAGCAGTGAGTGAACATTGGAGTACAGAACACATGATATAGGAAGAGAAAACGGGTGATACCTGCATAAGAAATGAAGATGAAGGAAGAAAGGGTATAGTCAAATAATTTTAGTATCTTAGCAAGCTTCTGTTGCTATCAATATATAGACATAGCCATGCGAAAGTTGGACAGTGAATAAGGAAGACCATTAAATAATTGATGCATCTGAGTTATGAGGTTGGAGAAGAATATTAAAAGTCCCATGGACTGCCAGAAGAACACACAAATCTGTATTGGAAGAAGTACAGCCAGAATGCTCCTTAGGAGCCAGGATGACCAGACTTCATCTCTCA